CTCAAACCATAAATATACAGAAAGACCCAATTCTGAAACCAGCCAAAATAATTTTAATAAAATTGTTGCACCAGCGAAACTTCAGTTTTTCCTGAAATTTATTCTACATATTTCATTAGCTGCTTTTTGTAAGATGATATAAAGCCACAGCCAAAAAATTAAGGAAGGAAATTGAGATATTGATCAGGAAACTATAGATGAAAATTTAAACTAGATGGAAAAAAATTTTAAGATTTACTTTAAGGTAAAATTCAACAAAAGTAGGAGAAGAGGTATTTCAGAAATAAATATTTCTAACTTTTGAGAAAAACAGTAAGGCAAAACATAGGATGTTTTATTGCTGAAGTATGGTGTCTTTTGTTAGTCTCACTAGCTGAGAATAAATGCAGATAAAGGACAGATATCCTGGAAATGTCCTCTGCTCCATTTCAGTAAGTGCAGTGTTTCAGCCCTTGACAAAGTAGCTAAACTATTTGGTTTGCAAGGTGTCTAAATGAAACAGACTAATCTACCTTCTATATCTTTTAGTTAATACCAACACTACTGCTTTTCCTCCAGTATTGAAAAACTGGTAAAATCCTCACATTGGCATCACAAAATACTGATGTCAGTGGTGCCTGACATTTCAGTCTCAGAAAAACTGGACCTGTGTCATCCACCTCCATACAGGTGACAGAAAGGAACTTATGGCACTCAGCTACATCAGCATGCACCTCTGCCTACACAACTTCAGAAGCAATTTTGCTACTTCATAGAGTTGTAGGGATTTGCAGACACATGAAGAGCCTTGATATTGCCATGGCTCCCTCTTCCAAGGCAAGTGAGTCTCAGCTGTGAGGCAGGAGATGCCAACGAGTCCACTCCTGTCTGTCCCCTATAGAGCTACCGTGACCAACAATTAGTTACTCCAACTAGATGTGGAAGAAATCTGCCCTCCAAAAGTGAGATCTGTTTTCTCCAGAGTAACACACGCAGCAGAACGAAGCCCAATATGCTATAAAGGCTGTAAACCAATTTATTATTTACAAATTCTTAGAAAATAAGCAAGGCATTTCAGATGACTGTGTGAGGATCAGAAGTACACTCCAGCCAATGCCAGTTCCTGAGCTACAGCCTTCAGCCCAAAGAAAAAATGAAAAAATAAGAGAACAAGCATTTAAAGGCATTTCATCAGTAGTGAATATAGCAGATTTTCACATCAGAAACTATATTTCCTTATTACATATGAGTAGCAAAAATATGTCTGTTAACAGAGTGGAGAAGCAGCCAGCTTTCCCACTATGCACTTTAAATAATGCAGATATTTTGGAAACTGTATTCTTCACAGGCTGTCATAGCTACAGAGAAATAGAACAAATTCATCTGTTAAAAATTACTCTTCTTTGTGTGAACGGTGTCAATATCCTAATAATAGATAGTATGTACACATGTGGGTGTGCATACAATGCCTATTGAGACATTAATGTCTATAAATAATATAATAAAGGTAAAAACAGGTGGGCCAATCTAATTACCAAAATCTTTTTCTAGTGTAATAGATCATAATGTGGTTGTGTATGCCATAATGTGTATGTGTATGCCTTTCATATATTACATATACAACAAAAATATTAATATAAATTTATTTTTTAAAAGTCATTCTATCATTACCAAAAATTAATCTGTAGAATGGAACATGAGCAACAGATGTCTAATTATTAAAATTTTGTATTCAATGAATTCTCATCATGTTATATTGTGTCTGGGAGCTTCCACAACCAAAAGGTGTTTTTTTCACCTAAGAAACTCCTTTGTAAAATTTCCTGGAAGATTCACTAAGAATATTTATTCTGAAAATATTCTTTCCACAGTAAAGACTGAAGTTCCATTTATATAATAAAATACATCAAAGTTAATTATAGTCTTCCCAATGACAACCTGGGGAATGTAATGTTTTTTTCAGCATGAATGAAAATTTTGATAACTGCCATCCACTGTGGAGTGACAATCACAAGCCTCCAGCAATGAGACAGGAGGATAACTTATTGTTTGCTGTTGTCTCAAAGGCTGTAATGATTCTTATCTAAACAACAAAATGAAGAGAAAAGCTAATCCCAATTATATGAAACAACTTCACAAACATTGTTACTTGATTCTAACTGAGAAGCCAGACATCCAGGTCAAGACATATTAGCCCAATTAACCATGCTTAAGATATATCGAACGATGCAACCGTTCAGGAAGAGAAGCTACAAATCAGTGTTGGGTCTATTTTACATTAGAACTACAGAGCTTTATCCATCTAGAGTACAGTCTTTAGTAATTTTATAAAACAGAAGCTAAGGGCACAATACGCTCTTTTTTTAGATACATTTAAGTTCCTTCATTCCAATCTTTTGTATCCAGGCACTTTAAGATTTAAGGTTGGCTTAATACCTAATAATAATAATAACTCTTGAAGAGATGGAAGATAATATTGTCAAGCAAAGTTTAGTTTGAGTAACAGCAATCTTATGCAATAGTTAATGCTTTCAATACTAGTTTTTTTCAGGATCACTTTTACCTGTAAAACTGAAATTAAATTCCCTGTGTACTACTAAGATCAAAAATATAGTAACACATGATTATTATACATATTTTGTACCCTGTTCATAAAGGTACAGTATTTAACTGACAGTCAGTGCAGTCTTCCCCAAGATGTGCTCAAAGAACACTGAATATCACAAATTTCTTACAATGAATAATTTACACCATGATGTTTTGACAATGCAAGAGTAGCATTCTCCAAACTTTATTTTACTGGAACTAGCCTGAAGCTGTGGGGCAGAAGCAAGACTTGCCTGATTGCAGTGTTGCTCTCCTGTGTTTTGCAGAGCAGAATAGATGCCTGCAACTTTGGTTGAAGGACACCACGGATATTCTCTTAACTGCCAGGGTAGGAGGCCAAAGTACTAGATGGGAACTCTCTGGCAAGAGGTGGTGATGTTCAGAAAGTATTTAAGAGTTGTCTACAGGATTTCTAGCGGGTTGGTGCTGTGGGAGGCAAAGCAATAAGATGCTTGAGCAGAGTCAGTTTTGGGGGGAAATTGCTGAGGTGGGTGGATCTTTGCTCCTTCTAGTGTATCATGCTAATCCTTCTCAGGAGAGAGCAAAGCAGAAGACACCTGGTATTACTGGTGAAGTGCACAGAAGATTATTTACTAAAGGAAGGAATTTCAAAGAAGGAATTTCAAAAGAAGAGCTGGGGCAATTCATTACATTCTCTCCATTGCTTTTGCACTCTCTCAAATGTAACTGAACACATATTTTTGTGACTGGATGACTGGGTGACCAGTTCTTTACAAAGCAAGACATAGTTGCAATTTGTTTTCTCCTTTCTTTGAAGCCGAGCCCACAACTCTTCAGTCTTAAGGACTGACAGGCCAAACCCTGTCTTCGCACTCTTTCTGAGGCAGATTACTGATATAGGCAATGTATAAGGCCATATATTTACAGCAATATATAATGCCATATAATTCAGAAAGACAGAAAGACAAAATCCAATAATGGGAGTAACAAAGTTCAACACAAGTCTTCAAAGTCAAATTTGGCCAAAACCAAAGCCCATGAAGTACTGAGAGCAAATCCTATAAATTTAAATAGAAAATATCATATACATAAAAGACATCTCAGAGTTAATGGATCAATTACATGCTCCAAATATACAATAAGTTATAGTCAATATAAATTACTATATTACAGTTTAGAAAGAAATTATGTTAGATGTGCGAGAAAATACAATTCCTCAAAATAAAGGCAAGCCAAACTAACAATAATCTAGTAAAAAATAGTCTTTTTGTTTTACGGATTTTAAAGTGTCTTCACAATTATCTAGGAAACACCTAGATTTACAAGGAAAAGGCCATTTTTCATAGGTGTACAAAACCCCCTGCAAATAGTTTCAGTATTGTTGCCAAGAAATTATCAAATTGCAAAGGGAATTTTTTTGAGTTAAGGACATAAAATATGGAAGATTGAATATTGTAATTCTAGGTTAATCTCTTTCTGAGCTGTAAAAATGGTTACTAGTTCTCTTAGGTGTATGCAGAAAAATAAAGCTTACATACTAACTTTAAGCATTTCAATTTAATTCCCAAAACTCAATTACAACCAAAACTCTTCAGCATGAAAGCTCGATTTAAATATCTCTATAATCAGTTCTTATTACTTCCGACTGATCTAATTTCAAATTATTTTTTGCAGCTGTTAACACTCATCAGAGGTGTCCTCTTACTTAATTCTCTGTTGGAACTTAGAAGCTGCTTACCATGCTACACTGCAGTCAGTACAATTATTTTAATTTATCTGCTGCTCTACACTATAATATTGTTAATGAATAAAGACTATTCTTACAACAGTAATTCATGAACCTTCAGTAGATTAAAGTATTCTGTAAGCAGCTTTCAAAATTGGCTTTTATGACTGTGTCATGCAAGATCTGTTTTGTCTCACAGAAGATAATTGAATAATAGCTGTATTTTTTTTGACCTTTTGAAGAAGCAAGACAGCTTGGACTGTCAACCCAACTCTGTAACGCTCATCAAACCATCCTTTTTAATAAACATATTGTTATTTTTCTTCCAGCTATACTTACTCCAATGCATCTTACTTTGCTCACATTTTATTTGTTTCTAGGCTCAGAGGATCAGCTTTGTTAGTGGGATTACATCAGGGAATTCAGTCAAGCCACTGCAGGCATGAATCTGATCTACTGGCAAACAATAGCAGTTTTCTATTTAATTTTCTCTAAGTCATTTTCTGAAGCTTTGAAACCCTACACAGTGTAGGCGAAGGAGCTTGGTCCTAGAGCAACTAGAGGTCTTACCCTTTCTCTCTAGTATTAATGGACATTTATATCTATTCCAGACAACTTGGTTTTAAAGATCAAGAAAGCTGAGAACAACAACTGATACCCTTTTGGGCCACATTTTATTATCTTTACTCTAGCTGGCGTGGGCTGCAGGAAGAAGCACCCATCTTACCATCGCTGTTGACACAGACGACAGCAGGAACCTGTGTACCAGGGCCACATGGCTTCTCATTGTCAGGAATGCATTCCTCCAGCCCTGTGATTCTCCAGTCATAGCAAGAGGGCTCTTCACATGGGATGGCTTCCAAAAGGTGAGGGCAATTTCCTGTTCCTCCTGTAGGCTCATTGGTGATGCGACGTTTCCTTAGTTTAAAGCCTGAAATACCCATGAAAATAACAATTTAAAATGTGAAGTGAAGCACTTTTTATCTGCCTACACCTGAGTGAACAGTTCTGTTTCTCCTCTCTGTAAAACATACCACAGACGCTCAGCAGAACAATGCATTTTAGATAATTGGGTAGGAGAACTCAATAAAGAAGGAATAGAGACAAAATTTTACAAGTTTCAATGTTTTGAGACTCTTCAGGAGGCTTTGCCTTAAACCCCTGTTTATCATAGTCATGCATACTCCAGGAAGGAGACAGGATCATTTCCTGAGCACCACTCTTGCAAGATCCATCTCATTTTATAATTTTGACTACATTACTGGGTTACCATTTCTCAAATAAGTTGTTTGCTTTCTTCTCAGGTATGTTCCAACAGAAATGGATTATCAAGTGAAATCAACTTACAAACATTCATTCCCCCTCCAACCCTCTAAAATAAAATAGAAGAATAAAAAGACAACTTATCAGAAAAAGCATGAAAATGAACTCAAGTCCTGTGAATACATTTTCAGTAATAAACATCACAATATTCCCTTGCAAGCATCTAAAATTTTCTTTAAGACTACCTAAACTCATTTTGGAATGGACGAACTGATGGGCATTTATGCACTGTGTCATCTACCAGGTCAATGCCAGCAACCAAAAGCAACACACTCTCTCCTTTCAAGATGGCTCATTGAAAAAAAACAGACTACATACAGTCAGGAAAACATAACCAAACTAAATGGACTCAAGAAATGGTTTCTCTTTTCACATCTTTTCACAGTCTCTTTTGTTTTATATCAGTATTCAGGCAAGTTAGTAATATACAGATATTTTAAATGAAATACTACACATAATATACTCTGTCGTTTCTACCAAGACACCAACTAAACAGGAGTTTTCAAATACACATGTGCAAGAACTGATTCTTTGAAGATATGCCTCTTAATTCAAGTATAGTAAGTATTTACTTTAAAAACACTTTTCCATTTATCTTCAGTTGCTGTTTGTTTTCCTTTTTTCTAAATTGAAGAGTTGAGCCAAATTATGTGCAAAGGTTTAGTAACCTGACACAAAAGGCTGATACAATTTCAAAAATAAAGAACTCCAATATCCACAGCAGTAAAGGATGCAAATGATCTGGAAATATGTAGACAGACATGCTGCCAAAAGTGGGAGTACCCACACAATTTTCACATCATTCTTTCAGAAGAACTGTCAATGCAATTATAAAATAAAATGTAAAAATTTCCAGATAAGAAGAAAACATTGGCAGTCGAGAAAAGATCCCTGCTCATGTGTGCAGGAATAAAGGCTTGCACAAAGTACATCCTAATGCATTTCTATTAGACAGATGTCCAAATCGGTCTCACAAACCTAAACTTTACTCCGAAAATGTAGCAAATCTTTCAGTGATGGAACAGCAACAGAAATAACAGACTACTTGACAGCTGTACTCAGATGAGATTTAATCTGATAGATTTGCACACTGAACTGCTTTTTCTTTCTTGAACTGATCAAGGTTGAGTCAGAGTTCCACAAAACAGTTTTGTAAAACTTACATTACTGCTGCCCAGACGGAAGTGTAACTAACAGCATGCCAGAAATATCCAGCTAAGCAAACATAGTAATCACAGCTGCTCCTTCCAGTGGACATATGTGGCTGCCCTTTCTTATGACTGTTTTCAATCAAGAAACCAAGTGTGTATTCCCAATTTTATCAGATAATCATTTTGTAGCAATGACTAGGCCAGTTTTTCTCATTTACAGCCAGAAGCCCACAGACTTCCAACATGAGGTCCCTGTCACTGCATTCTTGCTTTCCTATTTTGATATCAGGTTACTACAATCTGTTCTGCATGGCAATAAGTTGTAAAACATGCTGAAATTGAAACCAGCACATATGTCATAAGTAAAACAGCATCATGTATCAACAGAGAACAGTGCCATCTCTTTGCCAGATCATGATTTATGGTCTAATGGTGAATTCTTAAGCTATTACTGAACTGTAAAACTTTGATTGCCTTGTACACTACATACCTCAAAGGAGGCTTCTGTTCTCCTTTTGAAACACTGCCAAAATTGTGATTTGAACTCACAAAATGTATCCCTTCCAGTCTGAGAGCAAGGTTTGAAACTGGAATTGACCTGTAGAAATCCAAACTGATCTTGAGAGCCTAGTAAACAAGCTACATTTATGCTACCTTTGGTGTAACAGTGATGTCAAATGTAGTCCTAATTCAATGACTTTATTTTGATGCCCAGAGACACTTCTTGGTACAAAATTTGGTGTGCTTGCATAACCTAGTGACTTAGGAATAGCAAATCTCACCATTAAAAGGCTCTGCTGAATTGTTACATACCCTTCTTGGCCTGAGGGTCATCACAGCTTTCATAGGTGCATGGTCCCCAGGCTGACCATGCCGAGGTCTCGCACTCCGTAGGACAGGGAACGTGGCACAGCTGGGAGGTGCTGGGAAGAGGTCCTGTACACAGTTTACGGTCTACTGGTCTTGAAGCTGTCAAAACAAAGTTAAAATATTTCTCATATGTCACTGGTCATCATCCTCTGCTCTAAGTGGACAGAACTATCCTTCAGTCAGAAAGGCTGCTACCTCATCATTTTAATCAGATGACATGATGGAAAAATGCCTGCCTTGAAAAAAATTGAATGGAAGACAGTTTACTCTTTGCATGAACAGTCAAATCCCATTGTGTGGAGATGGGAAGACGGTAGATATTGAAGCATCCCCTCAGACCCAGTCCCTTCCTTTGAGGGATAAATTATACCACCACAACAATTGTTCACTTTGCATTCTACATAAATTTGTGTCCTGTTACCTCATTACTTCTTCTCTTAAGAAACTGAAAAAAAAGCTGCATAAACCCCTTTACACTTGTATATGTAAGCCATATGATACTATAACTTCAAAGGCCTGGTTAATTAATATTTAAAAGATTATTTTTAAGCTTTAACGTGAAACACAGCTAAAATTTTGGCAAAAACTTTTTTCTTTTACTCTAAAGACCATCAAGTGCACACTCAGCAGTAAGATTTGTGCAGCAGCAACTTTAGTTCAAGAAAGGCTTTGTTTCAGATATATACATGGTTTGCATTTGCTATATATATATATGTCTATAAATATGTATACATCATGTATATATGTAGTTGTAAAAACTGCACAGGACAATTTATATTTTTTAAAGTGCTATTAATCTATAGAGACACATGTGAAGGCAGAGTCTTCTGTTCTTTAAAGATCAATAACCTGGGCCAAAATCACCCTTCTCCTTCCGTACTTCATTCTTTTCATTTTCCAGGTAATACAGGTAACAGGACAATTCTATAAGGTGCCAGAGTAAGGCACAGAACTCAAACTGAAAATGTACCATTTCATTGAAAGCAAGATTTTAATTCTCTTTCACAATAAAGGACTTGACAAAATATCACAGTAAGCAGAGAATATCTGCTAGAAGTCTGCCACATTATTTCACTTTGTTTGATTGAGGAAACATAAAATTCCTTAACTTAAAACACTCTCCCTCTATTCAGTGGTTTGTTTTTCTTTCCTGTGGGAAGTTACATCATTAATTTTGCCACCACTTTTGATGGAAAGACTCTCAGATTAAATAGATACAGTATATGACAAAATATCTGTCTGAAAGATGAGATCAATAACCACTTATGGAATGTGAAAGTAAACACCAGGCTGTTAAAATACAGTCAATCTTCCAGACAGGCGTGTATGTCTTTCCATTCAGATTTTCTAAGCAGCTGATCTATACAGTTTTGGAAAAAGCATCCAATTCTAACTTTTTTAAGGGGAAAATGGAATGAAAAATCCTCACCCTATTCTGGTTTTCAACGTTGCCTCCTTTGGCACATTTTTACACTGTGTTGCATAATGAAGGCATGAAGGTGGCAGATAGTAATTTAATATTACTGTCTCTACCTTACCAATATCTTAAAACAAAATAATATAAAGCCTAATATTCCAACTTTTGCATAATGGTTTGTTGAAAATAAATGTTATGACATATCATTGAATTTCACAGCAATTTTGACATTGCACAACTAACATGCATGATACTCAACATAATATGCATATTTGGTGTAGAAAATGGATATAAGTAAACATAGTTTGCCTGTTGAATTTGTTTTGAATGGTTTCTAATAAAAAAAGGAAAACAGTAAGTAACTGCTATCCACACATTTGTAACCTTTATTTAACTAGGGAATTGTCCAAGTGAGACAGCTGAAATTAAGAGCCAATCATACCCCTGAGACAGTCTTGCTTCAGGGAGTAGAGAAAGTGCTCTGAGGAATTCCATGCTTCATCTCTAGCCTTCACCATGATAAAAAACTTACCATCACTATACTTCAGGGAATTTTACTCAGAAAAATAACAAAGATCTTTCATCAGGAAGCTTTTAACAGTAGCAGTTTTTTCATATCACAGGTGACAACAAATCTTTAAATATGCCAAAATGCTTTCCAAATTCTGTGTTTAGACACTAAGTGATGTACAAATGCTACCTCTTATATTTTGCTTTTACAACAAAATAATTCAACCATAGGACAGAAAAATTCTATTTCAGGTTATTAAAAATGTTTTCATCATTGAGCAGTTAGGATGAATTTTATTCAGGATTGCTCAAAATTCTTTTCCTGAGATGACAGTAAAAGAAGAAAACAGCTTTGCCTGGCCATCTTATGACCATCTTGTACCCATGAATTTAAATTAATTTCTTTCAGCATCACAAAAGCATGATTGAGCACAGGCTTTGATGCTTATTGTTTAGCAAAGACACTCTGGCATAAGACAATAATGGATGCATATTTTACATTTAAAACCTTGTCTTATATCTGTCCTTTCATACTTTCTTGTGGCAGCAATAACAATTGTTCTTTATTCCTTGGAAATAATGCTGAATGCCAATTAGACTGTGTGTAATATTACAAGATCTATGTGAAATTTGACCAAATTTTGGGCCAAAATTAGAAAGAAAAGTTAATGCATTTTGATAATCTCTCTTTCTCCTTCAGTCTAACTAATGAATTAGATTCAATTTTCAAGAAATTTCAGGTTTGAGGCTAGTAACCTAAAAATAAACTAAGATTTAATTATCCATTCCTCAAATAATCTTCTATATTAGGAAATTTTAGCTGAATATATTTTATATCCTTAGAAAATACCTCCTTGAATTACTGCATTTTAAAAACAACTGAAAAGAAAAAGAACAGTTCTGCTTTTATGAATTTGCTACACTTATCAAGACATCAAACTCTCAATCTTTCTCTAAAGACCCTCAAGAGACTAGTGCCCAGTAATGACAGGCTGGCAAAGAGACCGAATTTGTATGTGACTGTATCAGTATAAGCAGACACAATTTCATATTTCTCTTTCTGGTCATTTGCCACACTGTTTTCATAGCAAAAAACACAAACAAATTTATCCAACTACTCTCACTCAAAAATCCCAAGAAAAACCCAAGCCTAAAACACATTATGATCACCAAGTAAATAACATTTTCTTCACATTTTCTATAATGCTGCATTCTCTCATCAAAAAACATTAGATAATTCAGAACCTTGTGCTCTGAGAAAGGGCACAGTTCCATGCATGTAAGCAGTTCTCCTGTGTTTAATAAGGCAACAAATATGTATTTGTAGATGTAGAATAAATTTATGCCCATAAAGGAACTTTCCTCCTCTTTATTCTACATCAAGGGTTTTAAAGGTACTCGGAATAAGATGAAACAGTCCACCTCATATAGTAAGAGAAACCTCATGACTAAACCAGTTAAGTAGGTGAACAGAGATGAAACAATTCAAGTCAGTGGCAAGTAAATGGCAGTATGACTGTGGCTTCCAGGAAACTTGATTGTCACTGCTGAGCTACTACAAACAGTGCTCCTTCTTCTACTGACCGGAATAGTGTGAGGGATTCTGGTTCAGCTCAGTATTAGACTTTCAAATTCTTACCAGAGGCCTAACTTGGTGTTTTAAATCTACAGAAAGGACTGGAAACAGCAGCTGTGATGAAAACTGAAATATAATTCCCGATGCTCAGAAGTGAGAAGAAAAGAAGTCACTAGCTAAAACTCCTGCTCAGGAGTGGAGCAAGCAACTGTTCCAGTATCCCAGCTGGCTCATGAGCTTCCTTAGTTTGAATTTTGTCCTGTCACTTTCAAACTGATCTGAAATTTCCTGAGAAGGCTCAAATATATTTAACTATTTCAGAGCTACATAAACATGTTAAGTGTATACAAATAGCAAAAAAGGTCTCCCAAAAGGGCATTGCCTCCTTTGCATGCTCTTAATCAAAATGATCAGGTTGGAGGCTTTAATTTACCTACCTGTTATTTCAAAAGTGATTGATAGCAGAGGTGCAGCACTAGCCTTCGACTTGCTCTGTGACTGACTTTCTGAAATAATAGGGAAACGCCACCATGAGTATATGAGAAGGGAGGTCTTTAAAGCAGCCTTACCAAGACAGCATTTGCTACAACCAACAGTAAACTACACTGAGATGAAGGCGTTTCCCCACAGCATAATCTGGTGGGTGTATGCCCTGGCTTTTTCCCATCCTCAAATTATTCATCGTTTTCTATTCTGTGAGGGGAGAGAGAGGGAGGATGAGCAGAGCAGCACCTCTTCTGAAAATCTGTCCCCTAATGTGGAAACAGCCCAGAGCTCCTTTTTAAACCAAGAACCACTTCACCCCCAGTTTGAGCTCTTGAAAAACTGATCTCATGTTTATGCATCCAAAGACTAGTTACATTTTAATCAGCTTTCAGGAGCCTGCAGAGATTACCTCCTGATGGGCTCCATGTAGTCCTGTCACAGTCTGATAAGGGTAAATTTCACACACGCCTAATCTGGCGAGACTTCACAGCCTACCAAAATCCTAATCATCATTCTGAACAGTAAGCTGCCACTGGTTTTACTGTTACCTCTCTTTAGCTGGGAGGTTTTCTAATTCACACTATGGCAGAGGCATCTAAACTTTGTTCAGCAGAGGCGATTTACTAAAAGCCCTTGGGCAGGGCTGATTTGCATAAAACAAAGAGGCTTGAAAGCTTCTTCTTTAATAAATACAGATGTGGGGCTGCAGAGCTCACAAGTCACACCCTACTGATCTGAGCAGTCACGCTGGAATGGATGTTGGCATTAACATTCCCCACAAACTCTACCTCTACGGCAAGTTTGAGAGTACCTTTAAACCACAGCAGGAACCTCACTAGTCTGTTGTTTGGCCAGCCCTGGACAAAATGTGGTTTTACATAGCATTTGCATATTGATGTTGTTTTTCCTGAAGTATATGGCTGTTGTTTTTCCTGAAGTATATCGCTGTAATGTGTGTTTACATGAAATGGGTAGAGGATAAAATTTAATTTAAAAGTTAAATGTATTTAGCTTAATTCACTGACTTCTGAATCTATATTTCTGTATAACTATAGAGAAATAGATGTAATGTAAGCTACTCAAGTGTTGCTCTAAAGCATGTATACAACAAAATGAATTAAAGATTTTGTGTTCTAAACTATTCTCTCTTTTCTTAAGAAGCTGTGCAGGCTTTAACAGTGACAAGGAAAAATCTCTTCTCTCTTTCAGTTAGGTAAATAAAGCCATGAAATTATATTGGCTTGAAGTACTGAAAGCTACTTAAAAACTTGACCAAATCAAGGAAAAATATAAATTCCCTGCAAATTAAATCTAATCATATTTTTACATTTTTCTATATTGAGCTTACATGCCAGAATTTACATATTTCATCTGCACGTCAAACAGCACAAGTTCAACACCCAGATGAAGGACACACAAGAAATTTACAGCAGATAAAAAAAAACAATCTAGGACTTCAGACGCACCTTTTCATGTTCTTTCTTATGGAAAGGTATCCTGCACAGTATTTTTCAGTAGACACTAAGAAACAGTAATTTGTAGGATTTTGTATTTGGAACCTATATTTGCAGCATAGAGACTGAAATCTCTGCTACAGCAATTAAGCATTTTCCTCTGAATTAAAAAATAGCAGTAAGTCACAAGGTAAAGGAAGCCCTCATGACAGAAGGCAATGAAAGCTGTGAAAGAGCTCTGGAATGCTGACATGCTCTGATTTCACACCCATTTAATCACAACTGAATCAAGTTTACCTTCTTTATCCTTGAGGGTGTTTAGGTAGGAGAGGAGATTTTCGTTAGCCTGCACACAGTACACCTCCCTGGTTTGAACTCCACCTCCGCACAGCGCTGTCTGGTTTCCTCGCCTCTTGTCCTGCTGGCTAAGGAGAGGATCCACGCGGCATTCTGTCCACTCCGTGGTGCGCCAGCCGTACCTGCATCACATTTGGTTAATTTAGAAATCATGAAGCCGTTCTACACAGTATTCAATTATACAAGCTGAAACGCCTCAGTAACCTCATCAATTTCATAAAAGGCCTGAGCACTGCAATTTCTTGCACACAAAGGTGCATTAAACCTCGCATTTTTTGTGTATGGAAACTTTTTTGTATTATTTAACTTTTTAAATCATTAATCTTTAGGAGGTTCTTTTCCATTCCTGAAACATACCACATATATAAATATTTTATTTGAGGGGAGAAAAACTTAATATAGAGAGACATATAGTACATGTTCAGATAGCTTTCAAGACTGTGACTCTCAGCATTTGTTTAGACAATTTATATAAACAAAATCCAAAATATGAAAGATATGTGAATGCTGGGAAACATAAAAGCTAGAAAATGAGGGGAAAACCTCACAACTGCCCCTCCCCCCAAATAACCCAAAAGCCTATTGTTAACTTTGAAACAAAAGTTCCTTCTGGATATCAAGGTGAAACTATGACTATATTTTTTATCATGACTTCAGGAAAACTTTTCAGTAAGTTCTCTTTTTCACAGTTAAAAGGAAGATCATTCTGCAGTACTGAAGCATCCCAGCTGGGTACTGATGAATGATGAGAAGCTGGAAGCTTCCTAATCAGTGAACACACAGCCAAGATCTTTGACTCACAGTTAAAACCCAGTTGGGATTATGAACTGCAAGAAATGCCACAGAATTCCCTACCTAACAAGTACTTTAAGGCTAAATACAGCAAAGTGCTTCCTAATGCAGCTGGAGATAAAGAAAGGTGATATTTCAACCCTTAAATGAAAAATATATACCACAGTCAAAGATGCTTAACATACAGTGACATTTATCCAGACCCTATTCTTAATTTGATAAAGAAAAAACACAATTGGGACTAAAATATTAATTTTTATTAGATAAAGATTATAGCAATCTCTTGAATCATAAAGTGCTCGCTGTCATTTCTCGTAAGCTTTATTTGCTGTCACTGTTAGTCTCTCCCACTTCCCATCTAGGGCCTTTGTTGCTATGAGTACAAGTCTCACTAAAATAGTCTGTTAGCTAACCAGATGTTTATCACCCCTTTCCTGTGTTCAACATTTGGTCCAAAAACAAACAATAAATTCAGAAAACAATGATTCTGGTATAAATGTTATGTAGGGAAAAGATCACTGACAAATTAATACAATTAATTTATTTTCATCTTGCCTGAATCTGTGTATGTGCAAATATTGTCTTTTAAAAACAGAAATGAATTAAAAGAAAATATACTTATTATTATTGCTGTATTTAGAGAAGGAACTGATTACACTATGATGGAAACCATTTGCAGACTTTGGCCTTTCAAGAACACTGAATGAACAAAGATAAAGACAAAAGGTAAAGTCCTACCTATTATTTCTTTAATAATAGTTTGGTTGATATTCCATTACCAGCCTTGTACGCTTGATTGAAATTGTTCATTTTAGTAGTGGAGAACTGAAATGAACCAACTTACGTAATGCAGGGTGCTACGCCGTCTCCTTGAGAAACACACTGCTCTGCTTCTTCTAATTGCGGGCATTCGCTCTCACTGCCAACAGGGAGCTGCTTAATGGTCCGTGATCTGGTCCGGTTCCCTTTAGGGGTTGTCATGTCAAAGCAGGTTTTGGAGCAGGGGGTCCATTCTGACCACTCTGACACCTGGCACTCCTTTGTGATCACACAGGACTGAAATGTGATGGGCAGCTTCTCCTGATTGCAGAAGCTGTAATGAGATAGCGTTACAGTTTTTAGCACACACATCCACAGACAGTCATGAATTCCTACAGCAAAAGCAATGTCAATGGTTACATGAAAGTCAGTAAATATTTTTAAAACTGTTAAGTTTTACTCCACATTTATTTGATCCCAGAAAGTCAGCCAAAGGGTTTCTGACAAAAGCGACTTAAACCAGACAAATAACAGATAATAAATTACCGGTATTGCCATATCTGTGAATAAAATTAAAATCTAAGTATTCCTACAAGTACAGAAGTACAACAGAGGAAATACATACATTTTTCACTTCTTATCTTTTATTTTTACTCTTTTTTCCTTTTGTAACTATGTTCCAAGTAAGAGACAATTCAAAACTGAGATGACTAAAGGTGTTTTTGCAGATAAAAAAAATACTCAGTCTCATCTTGTCCTAATTTCCAGACTACAAATGGTTTAAAAACACAATGGCAAACATACTGAATGCTTGGTCACTAATAATTTACTTTGTTAATTGTTGGTATATTGCCATAGTGATGTCTCATGGTCCAAACAGGGAATTATCTCTAATCTAAAGTATTGTCTTCCCTGCTACCCATAGTATTTATTCCTGTTTCTTTTGAAGGCCATCACTTAACTTCCATTTTCTATCTGTTTGCCCCATTCACGTATCACATAGGTTGTCAGCAAGATTTTCTCCCTCTATATCACTCTTCATTTTAAATTTTATATTCTAAGTGAAAACTAACATGTGCCTGCTGCTCTCTATGAGGAGAGCTGTGGACACACTAACATTTTTATTTTAAAGTTTGATTCAAAATAGAAAAATGAGAAATAGAGAAGGTAAACTACAGTTAAATAAAACATAACTTTATCTCCTTAATTACAATTACAACATAGATTTCTTTTTTAATCAAGTCTGGGTTGGAATAAAAATCTGGCCTCTGAAGCAGTTAAATAGACAGAAAAAAAGTTTACTGGTACTGCAAGTCGCACAATGAAATGCTCTGTTCAATACCAGGCCTAGAAACTATACTACAAAGACTTGGTTTTTTTCCTTTTAAAAGAATAAAAAATAATACAGAAAAATTAATATTTACAAGTATTTCACTGCTACACAAAATTTGGCCCTACCCATATATCCAACATAATTTTGAACCTCTATTTACAAAATTTTGTAATAGAGCTAGGGGTACTTGATGAAACTGAGAGATTTAAAAACACAATAAATGAAAGAGTTATATGCACAAGAAACAGACCAATTCTACATCTTGCTAGCAGAAGATTCTGATTATGGAGACACTGTCAGCACATCCAAAAAGAGGTTGACAGATCTGTGAGCCATCATCCCTAACACATTTACTTTGGATATTGGAGAAATACAAAATGAATGGACTGCAAAAGACAGTCACGTGTCATATTTTTAGTCTTTAAATTGCATCTCCCTCTGCCATTGGAGACAATAAGGCGGAGACGCTGCTTGGCTTGACAGACCATAGGGGATTACTTAGAAGTTTTCTAATGTTCTTATTATGTCACTGGTAGTGGTGATGGGGAGCCCTAACACATGATAGTCATCTTTCATTCTTCGTTAGGACAGAAACTACATCCTGTTTGTGGAGAAAGGTAATTTTTGAGAAAATTGTTTTTTTAATAATGGGCTTTTTCACCCACGTGTAGCCCCATCTGGCATAAGACTACGGTACTTCAAAACCAATAAATCAGTTTCTGTACCTTTGACAAAACATATAGACCCATTGATCCCTCAAAGACACATCTTAATGACTGGAGAAAAGATACATTCCTTATGGTTTCTAACATGGGCAGTATTTGCAAATTGTTTTGTAGAACAGATGAAGTATCCTCCCGTTCCAAGCTCCCATCCAATGTGACACCTCTGCAGGCAGAGCAAACCAACCTCTTCACACTCACTGTGCTGGGGCTGAGTTTAATTATAAATGCACATTGCCAGGGAACATGCACAAAATTGCCACCACAAAGTAACTCTGGTGAGGATGGAAGAGGGTAACTAATGATGTGTAAGAGTTCCTGGGCTTTGCATCATTTCAAAACTTATTTGGGAGAAGTGTTAGATGAGAAAGGCTAATGCTTGTTACTAATTATTTCCATATGTGGTCATGAGGAAGACCCAAACAGAATTGTACCATGTTACTAACTTCATTGTTTATCTATGATCCTTAACAAAAATAAAACAATAGATTTAAAGGATGTCTCACTTCAAATACTTACTTGTAAAATAAAATAAACTAAAATTAAATATAAAACAAGGATGTTCTTAAGCTCTTGTAACCTGAGCATAAATATTATTAGGGAGACAAGCAAGAGGTAAAGTAAGCTATATTTATTTCCTTATTTGCTTATTAAAATCATGAACCCCTTGCAGTACTACATAAACACCCACAAGAAACTGATACTGTAAGTCACCACTACACAACCTCTTTTCTCTTATGCATACTGTCATATTACTTTGTGAGAGAGCAGAGATAACTACAGTTAGAAAAAGAAGAGTTTCATAACCAAATTTGCTTTTTGCTGTTTGCTTTTTTAACACTTGGTTTTCTTTGAGCAAGTTAGAGAAGCAGTGAGAGCTAACTGGAAATTGCCACTATCAAGAGTTTTCCTTCATAGTGCAGGCAGCAGAAGAATATGTGTTATACTCTATACTCTTAATTACTTCCAAGTAAGGAAGGGAAAAATCACATACTTCAAACTTTATTTTACCAGAAGTAGACTGATTCTAAATCAAAACCCAGCAATGTGCTTGCTAAACAAAATAGTTTCTTCTGTGTCTGGTACCTAATGCTATAGATTTGATCTCCACAAATAACTGAAAGCAAAGCTTACTTTTAAGTAAAGCTCTCTGCATTTTTTGGTGGATTTATGTGTCTTGTTTAGCCATGCAGACTGGGGGTAGATGTTCTCACAGGATAAAAAGCAAATGGGCAAGTAACATAATAGAAAATAAAAATAGACAATTAACATTCATTTCTTGATACCGCCCAACTCACTAGAAGTTTTTCACCAAACATCTTCATGCCCTTGATTAATGTCTAAGTAGACAATATATGCAAATTTAACCATTCAAGAAGCACAGGAAGGACACAAATAAGTCCCCACTATCAACCCACATAGTTGTGTCCAGACAATTGCTTGGAAAGCTCAAAGAAAAGCACGAGTTACATAAAAATGCTGTTAAAAGTCAACAGAGCAGACTGGATACAAGAAGCAACAGCATAGGGGTAACAAACAAAGTCTGCAGCATCTTGCTTTCAATCCAGTGAATATATTCAAGGACAATGCCCCAAGATTTTTGGCAGGGAAGAACGAATTATACAAATTGAACTAAGGCTGTGGTTTGAGAAAGTACTATTTCAGACAACAGCTAGATGTAGTGGGGAAATGAATTTTAAAGTATAAAAGCACTTAAATGACACAATGGAAAGAGAAAGCAATCCCAAATGAAATAAAATATCACAGGGGATGAATGGTCCCTGTTGCTATTAAGTCAACAATAAACCTATTCCTGACCTCTAAGACACAGATTAGACAAAAGAAGTAAAGAAAAAGGCTGGTTCAAAGAACAACCTACAGAACATAATTACTGCTCAACCTCTTCTGAAGACATGTGGTCAAGAATTCGTATCTACTCACGTTCCACAGCCTTGTTTGTGCTTCTACAGCAATAAATAAAAACTAACTACCACTTAAGAATTAAAGATAGGAAGGTTATGCCTAGGGATTTTGAAGTAATTTATGGGATAATTAAGGCTAAAGACATGGGGAGAACAAAGGTTGAACATAAGCCTGAACCAAATTACACCACAGTACCTGTGTACAAATGAGCAAGTTGTGCAGTTGAAAGAACTCTCTTCAGTCAAAAATAAACTTTAAAATGTGAAAAAATTAGATTAAGTCAGGAGAAAAAAACATCTCTCTGAGGTATCCTAAAGATCTATTAAAGAATGAAAAATACTTTTGCAACTTAAAAAAAATCAGGAAAACTTGATTTTATATGCCAATGATCTGTATGAGTGTTTATAATCTCAGTCGCAAAAGCTGTCTTTTAGGCTGTTTAGAAAAGTTGTGGAACAGATCATTGGAATTTCCTCCTCTACAAATTCAACTAGACAAGAAATGGGTTTTTCTGACAGATTTTTGCAATAAATAAAGCTGTGCATACTGCATTCATGAATCCAAATGCATGGTAATGCATGAGAGCAGGACTGGTCTCTAAATTCCTTCAAGATGAATAGAAAAAATAAAGAGGTTTTAAACTAGGCAGTAGAACTCTTTGCTGCATGAGCATACACCATTCATAACTTGTACAACTAAGAGATTTTCTGCTTTTGCTGGTGTTTTGTCCATATTGGACTGGACTAGTAATTAGAAAGGAGAATTAATGAGAAAATATGAAGAGCAGCATCAGAATGGCTGGGAGGTTCTAACTATTAACTAATTAATAATCCATGCAGTCATAAACCTGCCTTGGCAGTAGCAAATAGAGGGCAAAAATGGAAAGACAGCAAATACTCAGTCACGCTATCCCAAGATATGCACTGGTTTTCCAGAAAACTGTGGCTTACAGACTTTTGGAACACAAGCTGAATCTTTGCACTGAAGAGTTTACAATGTTCACCTCCATAAACTAAGACAAATGCGTCCTATAACTAGGTAAGATTTTGGTACATACATTGTCTTAGAAACAATGTATTACACACCTTTTTTACTGACCCATAACTGTAGATAGTTATTTTTGCATTAGAAGTGCTCAGTTAATTTAATTTTCTGACTTCAGGACTTGCATAACTATTTGCTTTCTCTGTGGCATTTTTGAGCTTTGACACTTCTATAACATCTTTCCTTGACTGTCTTATTGTTAGGTCCAAGAGTCCTCTTTCACTTGGTCTTGTTTTATTTGAACATAGTTATATCCTGCAACTACACATCCTTTCTACTCTAAGTGCAACTTTGAAATGAAAACTGGTCTGG